AATTGAATGATGAAACATTGAAATTGAAATCGACACGATTATACGACATATATTTATATTAAGATTACATAAATCAAACTTAAATTATTTATTTTGCGGATTAACAAGTCAGAAATGTTCGGTACTTTATGACAGGATCTTCATAATTTAAGAGCCGGCTTATAAATTATATAAAAACTCGTTTATCTTTCTGAAATCGTGCTTCATCAGAAAAATTTCGTACTGTCGCGTTTATCGATCGTTTACACACATCTCATTCCGCGAGCTTTCCGTCAACATCGAGTTTATCAGTATTTTTGTTTTTATCTCATAAAGAATTCTTAAGAGTAAAAAATCGAGAACTTTCAGTGACGATTTGATGAAAAATTTCACTTAATTTCGTTTTATCTCGCACGAGTAAAGAATTTATTGAATTTTTTCGGGGAAATTTGAAAGAGGGGAATTTGTAAATACCACGGCTCACGAGACGTTTTATAATATCAAGTAAATTGCGAATAGATCTCCGCTCGTTTGCAGACCATTTCACAATTGTGCGTGCAACGACCCGTGGACTCCGGAGGTTCCGATAAATTGCGGTGAGGAACGCGTCGAGTAACAACAATTATTTCCACTCCTATGTGATTGGCCTTTTGACGAGATGATGTTAAAATCCCACTTATGTTAAATGCACATATAACGGAACGCAGATCGCACTAAATTCCACAGTCTAACCGCATCGCAATAGAGCGAGACGGCGGCGAGTTGCCTGCGTGGCCGATTAGAGATATAACGAAGGATAATGTACTCCATTTCCTAAAGTGCTCTTGTTCGACGCTCGATACAACGTTTTCATATTTAATCTGTACTGAGAAAAGAGTGAGAGATTGCATTTGAATTCTGTACACAGAAAAATACTCTCTAAAACTTGAGTTAATTTCTCCGAAGATTAAAATTTCATCATCCTTAGAGATTAAAAATTGAGCCACTCTTTTTCTGATTCTTCTCAAGACTAGTTCAATTTTCACTTTTATAGAATAATAATTATTTGTGAGATAATAATTATTTGTTTTACAGTATTTCAAAAACTCCGCAAATTTCATCAAAGTTCATTACAAGCATCAAATTTATTCAAAATATATTCTGAATCCGAGTAAGTAAATTCAATTTAGTCAAGATTTATTAAATTAAAACAAATTCAATGCTTATTATATAAAGTCGTTTCTTTGATTAATTTTGTAGTATTTTTTAAAAGAAAATAAATTCTTATTTTGAATACATAATAATGAGGCTTCTTTTAAATTTGTAATAAAAGTATATTTTAAGATTATTTTCAAGAAAATATTCTTTGTCAAAGATAACGTTATTTAAAAGGAAAGAAGTAAATTAAGTAATTACTTTTCTTAGCAGTAGAAAAATATTTTTCTATGTGTAATTAAAAATGGACAAGTCAGAATTTTTTGGATAAGTCTTATAATTAACTGTACTTGAGATTACCAGAATTCTGATTAATATGATCAGAATCTTCTGGTTAATTCATTTTCCACTTTTCTTGTTAATTCATTTTCAAATTTTTCTCAGTGTACAAAATTGAATAAAATATTCTAATATAAATAATCGAGTTACAAGTTAGCTCGCGTAAAAAATCTAATGTAGTAAATTGAACAATTGACATAAAAACATAAAATAGAAAGATAAAGACTTTTCTTACGCCTCTCTTTCTCTCTTTTTTCAGGATATGCATACGCAGGCTTGTAATGTAATTGAGTTGAAAAATGCGGAAAATCTGGTTGCACTTGTAGATGCAAAATTAATACGTAGGGAGTTGCAAGTTTCTAAGCGACAACTCGCTTGGAAACTTCTGCCTAGGACCGAAGTGTCCAAGTAAACTTTTGCACAAAGCTGTCCGTGAAAACGCGATAAACGTACGCAGCCTAGAAAACACATCGCAGCTCTCCATCAGCGATGTTAAGTCCTTCGCTTTGTACCGTACTTTATTTATACAAACCCATCAGTCTGCAAACACTCGAGTCATGTAATAGAATCAATGCTCGTGTAGTTCAAAATCCATGTTATTCATAATTTTCCATTTGAGACGTATCTTGTAAAAGAATTTTTTTAATTTAGTATGAAAAGATGTTTCTCAAATGTAATTATACATCGTACAGAAGATCGATTACAAGTCTGAACGGACCCTTATAGAAATGCATGCAATTTTCCTAGAGATCCAATTATCGTCTAATATTATTGTATTCTCATTAGTCGTAATAGCTGCGTTCAGCAGAAAAAGCTTTGCAAATGTTGTATCTAAAATTCTTTAATACAATTGATCTTCCTCTTAGTTTCTCATTGGATTTAAATGTATAGACTGATCATATTCAAGAATTTTACAACAATTACAAAACTTTTTCTATTACACAGCGAAAGGAAATATGCGTAGGAAATTAAGAACTTAATAAAGCTTTGTTTAATAGTCGAATTTTCTTGATAAAAATGCTATTTACGTAAACTCTTGTCCAGTCTACTATTAATAGATTATTATTAGTTCAATATCGCGTAATTCATTTCAATTGTTCTATTTTTATTCAGTAAATGGATTCAAATTTTTTACATCTTTGTGCGCAATAACTCTAAACAAAGCGTTACATCTTGCTTGACCTAACTTTACTTCTCAGTTGCTACACTGAAAAAAAATATAGTCAATTTTAATAAATATTTAGTTGAACTAAATATTTATTAAATATAAAGCTATATAATAATTTATTTGATACAAGAAATGTCAATTTAATTTAACAATTTTTTTTTTTTCTGAACAAATATATTTATTGTAAGAAAATGTTTAGTTGGCAGTATTGAACTAAATATTTATTAAAATTGACTATTTTTTTTTCAGTGTATACAAAATTAATAACTGTAACTGTTCAAAAAATGCATGAAATTTCTCAGGTGAGATTATTCTACAAATCCTATTCGCTCGAAGGTAACAGATATTACGAACTTTATAACTTTATAACTTTATAACTTTATATATTCTTTGAATCTCTTCACTGCTTTTTATCGATCAGAAACGGACAATTTTTAACGCTATTAATTTTCTTAGTGGCACGTCGCCGGTTCTCGCGCGCGTGCGTGCGAGAAATAAATGTGCACAACCAGAAACGCGTTCTGCGTAGCTCGTAACGGACCGATCGAGCAAACCTGTCTCACGTTGCGTCGTAGGGGCCCCCATTGAAGAGAAGGGGTACGGAGGGGCGCGGTATTATGTCTCTTTCCTTTAGAGAGGGAACGGAATATCTCAGGAGAACTTCTCTTTTCTGCCAGGTTTCCAACGGTCTATCGATCGGCCTAACAACCGGCAGTAGCCATAATTAATGTTAGCCGACTGAAAAATAATACCGCGAAATGCACCGTTCGATTGCTCGCGAACATCTTGTTCCTCTTGATACCGAGTTGTTCCTCAAATACGTTATGTCTATTATTTCATCATCGTGTGCGAAGAAATCGAATTTCTTACCAAACTTTTATATATATCACATATCTTATATTTCATCTCATATATATATTTTACTTATTTTTCTGTGTTGGCATTTTATATCCTTGATATAGAATAAATTATAAAATAATTTGTACTGTAAATGTACTATATACGCTTTTATATAAAACCTATAATTCTATAATTGTAAGTAGTTGTATGTAAGTGGTTGTATTTATAAGAATTGACCAATCGCAGTCGAATTCTATTCATATTCGACTGTAATTGATCAATTTCTGCAACTATATAGTACTATGACCTATCTTTGTGGATCGGAAATCCATTAGGGAAAAACAAAGAAGAAATCTTACAACTATCACTTAAACCGTAATGACTATAGATTGCAGTGAGTACGAAGCAGCTAGTTGCATCGTGATTATAGCTAAAATAGAAGTGTAATTTATATTGTGAGCATAACTTTATAACTACGCAGTTGTAGAATGAATTCAAGATTTCAAAAATTTTTTCCTTACGTAGTGCTCGTCAGTATAAAGATTTAAAGCCCTATCACGTTGCATTCCGTGAATAATAGTCGAGCATTTCTTCTTTTTTTTTATACTAGAATAAATTTTCTTTTCGTTGGCCGATTCAACGAGTGAAAGCGCATCGCGTCAAAATGAGATTGACCGTGAACCAGGAAATTGATGTTTTACTTCGCTCGATTCTTATTACGACAAGCGTTACGAATGATGCTATATTTTATGCTTGCGGAAAGGAGATATCAAGCCCAACGTTACGGTCTCTTCATCGTTATATTTTACAATATTGAATAATCTTAGAGAGTTAAAAATTACTAAATCAGCTCGAAATAAGCATTGCAGACTGATGAGTTTAATAATTTATTTGATGAATATAAATGAAGCATGGGGAATACGACGCTTCGTGCATAAAACAGATCCAGTTGATTATGCTATGTAGACTCAATATAGTTCCGTAATTCTCAAACGGACTCACACTAAGTTAATACAATGGTGTATCGCATTCCCGAAATCGCCATTCCTCGACGGCTGATTGGCCGCGCGCTATTGTTATGCTAATTCCGAAGTTCACTCCATTTATTTCTGTGTGAATTCAACGCCCAGATAAATAAATTTCGCCATAATATAATCTTTTATATGGCATTAAATTTAATGCTATAAATTTCATTATTAATTTATACAACCTTTCAATCATGATCAATATAATATATTGATTGTGATTGAATAAAGGTTGACATTTCGATAGTTCGAAACGTAAAAGGGCGAATAATAAAAGTAATAAAAAAGATTATTAAATAAAAAACGAATAGCGATTTAGCAAGAATAAATTGCGCAATAGTGTGAATTATCCGAATGATCTTTATCTTTAAAAAATACAAAGGATTTTTTTTTTTTTTTTTTTTTTTTAACAGTTCTTTCCGCCAAAATGTAAAAGCGTATGTGAAAAAGAAAAAAAGAACAATAGTAGGTATGTATATGTGATGGTTTTGTAACCCAGATATTTTTGATTTTAGTACGAGGACCGAGACTACCTGGGAGCGCTTGAGGAGCACATCCCCCGAGACTCCCCCAATCAAAATCACTCGCCTAACCTCTCCCCTGTCCTTGCCCTCCTCCGCGTCCTTTCCCTCCGCGAACGTCGAGAAGGTCTCCAATCGAAGCCACAAGATCCGCAATCACGCAATGGACGGCATGGACAACAAACCGGTGTTAAATGATGATCCCTCGGTCACCCTGACCATTCGCTTGATTATGCAGGGCAAAGTAAGCTACCCGTTATATCTCTGCGAAATAATTTCATTGAGTTTATTTAATCGAGTACATACTTTTAAACTGTGAGTTGAAAATCAGCGTTCTGAATCGTCGGGCATGTTTATCATGCGGTTTAATGTCGCTCGCTCGATTTATTCCACATGCATTCTTCTTTTTTTTTTTTAAACTAATCCAACGTGCAGGACGTTAAGCGTTTTATAGGAGATTGCACAGAGGAATTCAATGTCCTTTTTACGCATATTTTTACATTTCGAATTCGAATGTCTTTTTTTTAATCAATTTTCGCGTTTATTTTACATTCGTTCGTTTGGCGACCCAATATACATGAACAGATTTTTTTTTTTATACCATTAACATTTGAGATTGTCGCGTGTCCCGCTATTATATACATCATTTGAAATT